ATATTCAGGGAAATGGGAAAAGAAGACAGGAAATAATAGAGAAGGAAGAACTAATAAAACAATGAGGATTTCAGTATTTCGATTAAAAAAAAAGGAATTTTGACATTCTTCTCCTGTTAAATCGACTTAAGCGTTGGTTATCTCAATGATTTTTACTAAATAGAGAAATTTATTAGCAAGTGGTAGCAATAATGAGAGAGAATTAAACGAACCACTATGACAATGGGATAGGAAAAATGCAGAGGATTTCAAATTGTCAGAATCAAATTGATCAACCGATATCCAATTACACTCATTAAATCGACCACAGAATGCATTCATTTTTAGATCTGAAAGCAATTCCAACGATAAAATCTGTTTCAGTTACAATCATTCATATGAAAATAATCAGAAGAGACACGGTAAGAAGGGTTAATCAACAAAAGTTAAAGAGAGTTGCAAAGAACCTTAGTTATGGAAAAAAAAAACAAATAGCCTTAGTTATGAATTTTCATAAAGACCCCTTTAATATACGGAGAAGGAGGGGGAGAAAGATGGTACTGTATGCCGATTGTACGAAGTTTAAGCGAAGAAGTCTAGAAATTTCGATGGGTTGGTTCAGTGGGTGGTGGATTGTTTGGCGCATCGCTTTGACTTTTTTATGTTGTGGCCAATGATTTTAGGGGCTAGTGATTGAGTTTTGCATCGTTCAGTTGAATTATTTTTGAAATAATTGAACAATAATCGCATCATGACTAATAGGACATGGCTGGAAGACGAGATTGTCGTGTATTTGTGGGCAATTTGCCAAGCGATGTGAAACAACGAGATTTGGAAGATATTTTTTACAAATATGGGCGCATCAATTTTATCGACATAAAATTTACAAGGGATATACCATTCGCATTTATTGAATTTGATGATCCCAGGTAGTAGCTTTTTCATCGATATGACCCGAGTCCCAGTTTCATTATTAATACTGAACAACTTCATCTTATTGTTAGCCTTCAGAAATGTGCCTTTGAGTTTCCCCTATTTAGAAATTGCGCTAAAGTTAGCGTATGAGATGTCGTGAATGAATTTAAGATTAGAGTCATATATAAAATTGTTTTGATGTCGTTCAATATGAAGTCATTAAAAGTTTCTTACAGAGATGCTCGCGATGCTGTTCAGGGTCGAGATGGATACGATTTTGATGGATGCCGCATCCGAGTTGAGTTAACTCGAGGTGTAGGTCCACGGGGTCCAGGTGGTCGTCCATTGTATGGACCAGATCCGCGATCGCCACGACGTGGTCCACCTCCGCGACGAAGTGGTTATCGTGTTATAGTTTCAGGCCTGCCCGATACTGGTTCGTGGCAAGACCTTAAAGTAAGACTTTCTTATATATTAAAGAAAATGAAATGTCCTTATTTCTTATATAAAATAATTTTAAAAAATCGATCAAGCAACTGCTTGGAACAATAGAAAATTGCTCGAGTTACTTTAATTTAAATAATTTAGACTTCAGTAAGTCATTTTAGGACCATATGCGTGACGCTGGTGAAATATGCTATGCAGATGTTTTTCGAGATGGCACTGGTGTTGTTGAATACACAAATTATGAGGATATGAAATATGCTCTTCGGAAACTGGATGATACAAAATTCAAATCGCACGAGGTAATACTACATAGCTACATAAACATAACAATGTGTAGCTTTGACAATTTTGATTTAATTTCTATTATTTTTGGAATATACTAGGATATTTTCAGGGAGAAGTGACATATATTAGAGTGAAAGAGGGTAATGCAAACAGTCCAAACCGTCTGCGTTCTCGATCATACACACCACGCAGAACACGCTCGTCACCTAAATACAGTCCTGCACGCTCTGCATCAAGAAGCCGTTCACGTTCTTCGCTTTCTCGCTCTCGCAGTCGTACATCTTATGTTCGACGTTCAGCATCGCATTCGCGATCTCGTTCTAGAACAAAATCAAAAACTCATTCTCGTTCTCACTCTGGATCGCGTTATTGACCAGTAGCGGCGCCGAACGGCACATCTGCACTGGAGTATGCATTGTTTAAACTTGTTTACAATTTTATTTGTTTCACTTAATGGTGGTAAATTATAATTCTCAGTGAATGTAGCTCGTGCTGAGCATACAGTTCATAAAATTTTATTGTCCTTTCGTCTATTGATTTAGTTCTTGAATTCTGCCAGCTTACTTGTAACCTCCATGAACTCTTATACTGTTCATTTCAAAAAAATCATTTTCATTCTGTTATTAAAGCATGTGTTTTAGCGTGTTATTCAAACTACCAATCTGTTGTGGTTAAGTACGTCGTTTGGATTGTTATCTAAGAAAAGCTTACTTTTAGGCATATCTGTTTGATTGCATTGCTGTTTTACAAATTGAAAATAAAATTGATTTCGTCAGTTGACTCAAATGATTTTCCTTCTGTATTGTTGAAAATATAAATACTCGAATTTTTCAAATTTCAGTGACGAGGGATCTATAATCCATAAACGGGCCGACATAAAGTCTTTGTATTTAATAATCACACAAGATTCGAAGCGAGAAACCAAGTATTCGATTTCGAACCATTCACAATTCGGTTCGACCAATAAGTATTTTGGGTTGTTACCGAGTCGATTACATCGATTTGGAAGCGAACCGTTTTCGATTATATTAGAGGTTCATATATGCAAATAGGATTTAATGTTATTTCATAGGTTTATGGTTGTATCTTGGGAACATAGTTGGAAAATGATGAAAGTTGCGTAAAAGCATGGTGATCACTTAATAGCAGTGTGCTGATATTTGCCTGGCCAGTTTTATTGCACTAGTTATTATACCTTTTATTATTGAGTAAATTCAAAGAGACGATCGTTATTTGTAGACCTCACAAATGTCGAAATCATGGTTCACTTATCTCCAGAATGATTGGCAGTGCGTTTAGATTTCACCGCATAATTTGAGTTCAAATTGTCATGCAGTTATCAGTCACTTGTTTATAACAGTTGATGAGCATTAGTTATTACGCAGGCTCTTTTACTGAGCATGATCTTCCTATTCTGTTTTATTCTCCTTCTCTTTTCATCATTTTGTTCTTCGCTCCCTTGTTCTTTTCCCTCTCAAAATTATAGACATTCCCTTCTCATGTAGAAGTATAGAAATTATTCCTTTCACTACTTGTTTTAAAGGTGAACTTGTTGAGATATTTGAGTGAAGAGGGTCATATATCTGACGTCATGTCTTGGTCGCTAAGGATTAGAGAAAAAGGTTAGAGAAGTGTGGCGAGGCCGAGTGACTATTGTGTAGTGATAGGTTCTTGTGTGTGTAGTGGCAATATTGTGCTGTTCTTTTTGAATGTGTCCTTCAATTTCAAATTCCCTGTCCGAGCAATTAGTGTTAGATATTGATTGGGAGGAGGGGTGTGTGTGTATGCGTGTGTGCGGCTGCTTTGGGAGTGCGCGTGTAGGCTAGATCATGTGGTAAATTGGTTTTCCAGCAAGTCGGTCGATGTTTCAGCTTTGGTTTGGGTTAGACTTTTTTGCTTTTGAGTACGTTGTACAGGCGCCCTCGCGTGAACGTATTATCTGTACACGCGTTGCGTTACGTTGCAGTTGATTTCGGTGTAAATCAAAATGAAAGACGTGAAATGCTTTATATTCTTGAATTTATTGTTGCAGTCAAGACAAAACAGGCATGGCTGGTCGTCGCGATTGTCGCGTATATATTGGCAATCTCCCACCTGATATTAGACAGCGTGATTTGGAAGACTTATTTTACAAGTATGGACACATCAATTTTATTGATGTCAAGCTTACACGTGGAGCACCATTCGCTTTTATCGAGTTTGACGATCCACGGTTTGTTTTTGCGGTATAAAATAAAAGCTCTTGGCATATTGTTGTTACAACAGTGTATGTGTAGCAACAGCATATTGGTTTATTGAATTTTTTTGCTCTGCAGTGATGCGCGTGATGCTATTCGTGGGCGTGATGGTTATGAGTTGGATGGCTGTCGAATTAGAGTTGAAATGACTCGCGGAGTCGGTCCTCGCGGTCCAGGTGGTCGTCCACTTTATGGTCCTGATCGTGGGGAACGTGATCGAAGACCGCCACCTCCTCGTGGTCCTCCGCGCCGTAGTGGATATCGTGTCTTGGTAACAGGTCTACCAGTAACAGGTTCTTGGCAAGATCTGAAGGTGGGTTTCTGCATATAAGAATTAAATGTATGTTGCGATAAAAGAACAGTCATTCACTATTGTTCAGGATCATATGCGAGAAGCTGGTGACATTTGTTACGCAGACGTTTTCAAAGATGGAACTGGTGTCGTTGAGTACACTAGACAAGATGACATGAAATATGCAATCAAGAAGCTTGATGACACGAAGTTCAAGTCTCATGAAGTCAGTGTTGCTTTAAAATATCTTAATTTTCAATTTTCCTGAATAATTAAGTTTATTTGATTTGTATTTAAAATGAAAGAAATGTTTTTGCTAGTGAATATGAAATGAACATGTTTCAGGGTGAAACATCTTATATTCGAGTGAAGGAGGCAGCAATCGATGATCGTTATAGATCGCGTTCACGATCTCCTCGTGGTTCTCCGAAATACAGCCCGAAGTCGGCTTCTCGTTCACGATCTCGTTCACCGATACATTCCGCATCACCTGCGCGATCCTCTCGCTCACGTTCACAATAAAGATGTATGGATCATCGAAGATTTTTTATCGTTATTATTTGGAAATTTCAATTATTAATTGTTGCCTTCTCAATAATCATTTTTATTGCACTCTTTTGAAGGTTTCAAACGACACTTCCAGATTTTGAAGAGAGGATCTCTCCCGCTAATGATTGTTGCTGTGATGAAAGTGTAAAGCTTATAAATGCTGTAAAATTTTTAGTATCAGGCAAAAGGAGATTGAAAATATAGGATTAATGCGATGCTATAGCGTGTTTGATATAGTAATAGCTACTTGTTGCTTTAAGGTATGGTCAGAGTGTATATGAGAGTGTCCTGATTGTCTCTGAAAAAGAGAAAATCTTTTTTGGTGCAACTCATTGATTTTTCGTTGGATTGTTTACAGTAATCTCATTATTACGCGTATTCATTTATTCAAGAAGAGAGTTTATTTTTCAGTGATGCACTGTTTCCGAATTCAGCATGCTTGTCATCCATTTTAGCATTGAGATGCGTCCAAGATTTAATAAATTTTTGCAATGCATTATTCGTAGCATCCATTTAATGGCAGTGATTCTATTTTTATTTTTTCAGTGACGCCTCAGCAAACACTGTTTATGTGAGGATATTGATAGGGATAATCAACGACCACTACATTCTATTCAACCAAACCAACAGAATGTGTTTAATGCGACGCCAAACTTACGCCTCTATCAAACACATCATTTCTGGGACTTTACATCAAAAAACAATGTGGAGGGAATGGCCTCGATTAGTACACCAACGAGTGCGTCAAGTTCTCCCGAATCCCCGATCCCGGATTTATTGGCAGTTTGTGCAACGCATTACGGGAATGTTTGGCAGCGAGACGATAGGCTTTCGGTCGAGCTTTCTCGAAACGATTCGTAGGCCCCGATAAGTTTTATTGATACTTGGGTTGACATGGTTGGGTCTATATCCAGATTTTTGGGATTAGTTTTGTCCAAGACTCGGCGCTAAACGTCTTTATCCAGGATTTGGAAGTAAGCAAAGTGTTGTTGTAGGCAGTCTGTTTTAGCGTTGCCATGTCCACTACGTTGAGATTGTGCAGCTTTTTTTTTTGGGAAGGGAGGGCTTTTTCAGGTAGCGATGGTATGAATTTTCAACAAGTCAGATACGGAGACGTGGTGAAGTGCAGAGCAGGTGAAGCATTTGGATTTATCATTTTCGTAAACACGGTATTTCAAAAATACCCCATTACTTCATACTTATCTGATCGCCATGGTATATGGTGGTTCGGCAAATCATTCGCTTATTCATTTATACGCAATAAAGCTTTTTCAAGTAACTTGTTTTGGCACCACATCTTAATTATTCGAAAGCATTTGCAGCATCATTATGTCTACGAGAGGGGGATAGATCTTTGCTTGTAAACAATAATGTTTTGGAAATCTTATGAATTTGCTAATTCTACCACGCACATAAATGATGATGTAAAAAAAAAGTTATATTGAGTAATGCAAGTTTCCGAAATGAACGATCGTATACCGGAATCGATGCAAGT